TAAAGAACTAAAGCAAATTTCATGCATAGAGCTCAAGATCAATTACCAGAGCTGCCTACCTATAGTGCTTGCGACCATGAACATTCAGAGGCTCCGTAAAATTGTTCAGAAAAACGGAGAGAGCTCATTGCAGAACAGATTCCGGAGATGCTTGCAGAGGCCATCATCTAGCCAACATTCTAACTTCACAGTTCTCTAATCGTCTTAATGCCTAAAAAAGACGGGACAATGCGCCTCTGCGTGGATCATTGACAAATTACTGAAGATACGTCACTCTGTATTTCTTACACACACCATGTCGGAGAAACGATTTGCTCGGCTATCTGCTTTGCTAAGCTCCATTTGAAAAGTGGCTATTCGCAGATTGATATGGCACCTGACCTTATTCAGTACGCTGTCAATATTTAAACATCCTCGCTCAGGCTACAATATGAAGTATATATATAAACAATATATGCAATAACATATTAGTAAGAACACATGAAGTATTCAAAAATAGAAAAATGCACGATATTCGGTTGAAAAAGAATTTAGTAGCTTTAGAAGTGTAATACGCTATTATACATGGATCATTTTACAAGAACTGCAATGCTTTCACGCCCTAATTGAGATTTCTTTAATTCAATGTTTAGAATTTTTTAAACTAATATTTCTAAACTACGGGAGATCCAAACTATTTGACTCTACGACCATTTAAAAAAAACCAATGTTTATTTAAATGCAATTTTTTTTAAATTTTAAAAGAGCCTTACAGTTATGCTTCACCTGTGATAACCGTAGTAATACTTTTTTTTACAATTGTGAAGCCCCAAGTCAATAAAACTTTATTCATCACATCTGCTTTTCAGACCTTTTCACATACTTTGTTCTCGTACATTCTATAATACGAAACGATTAATTCCAAGCATCTAAAAATTAATCACTTAGACAAATTGAATTATTCGTGGCACGCGATTTAAGTGTCAAAAGTAGGGTTTACAAATAAAACGTTCTGTGCTAGAAAACAAATTTTTTTAGGTTCCTAACTATCAGAAAAGGTGTTTAACACTTCAAACTTTTAGATAGTACATCGTAAAAAAATTGAAAAATCAACGTCTAGGCACCAGAAGCCGAAAAAATAAGATTTTTGAATGCTTCACGTTACGGTAACGACCTTGTGCCCTATTTTTCCGATCTTACGGCAAAGTAAAAAGTTTTTTTTTTGACAAAATCTCGAAAACATCTTTGGTAAAAATTGGCTTAAGCTATTTAAAAAAATTTCTGAGTCGTAATAATCCAATCCATCGTTTTTAAACATAGGCTTCATGAAGTACCGCAGTTTTTGTGAAATGACCCATGTATAAAACCAGGCCTTAGAATACAAAACAAATCAAAGCAGTACAATATAAATTTTGTATTCATGCACAAAATGTTATTGACTGTGAATTTAACAAACTCTGCAATATTAAGTCATATTTAGATTTGAGTGAGTTGAAAAATTATATCTTGAACTGAGCCTTGAAATATTGTAAACGTAGCTAGGAAGTAAACGTTGTCTGTCATAATGTTAGCAAATATAGACACTTTTTCTTCTCTTAATTAATTGGAAATATAAAGCTTTTCTTTGTATAACTCAGAAGATTTAATATTCAATTTGAGAGGTTTACTATGTTTTGTTCGCAAATATTTATCATGTGTATACAAGTGTTCAAATTTATCATCAAGTTTCTGTTGTGATTTATTAATTAAATGAGAGTTAATTTGGTAAGCAAATCGAACAAGAGCTAAAATACAACAAATTCCATCTATATTTTAAAGTTCATAAAGGCATCTCTGCAATCTTCCAGACAATATACGCATGTATCAATGGTAATCATTGACATCAGTAATTAAAATTTTTTTTGGAACCAAATAATACTGTTGTCCAGTTTCTTTCTAGAAAGAATCGTTTGTGAAGAGAACTTCTAGAAAGACATACAAAACTATGACTATTAGTATTTTTAGGAAAAAAATCTTTAAACTTGCATCACAAACATGTTATTTGAATAGAAATTGACTTGCGTTAAAAATTAAAAAAATATGGTTCGAAACTGATAAGTAGAGTAGTTAAGAATCTTCAGCATCTGACAATAAGAAAATTTCTCAAATGTAGAAGGAATAGAGTTTGCGGAGTTAGTAGTAAGATTAAAAGCAATGGTGTTAAAAGTAGCCACCTCATAATTTTACAGGGTCAGATGATACATGAGATGACCATAAAAATTTTCGATGTATCAATAAAAGAAAATTTCAAATCAGTACAAAACCATTGTAGTAGGTCAGCAGCAGCTTGAAATTCGTATGACTTTCAAAATGATACTGATTTGAATAAGGTTAAGATCTTAGATCAAGATAAGAAAAGATTCAGGGGAAAATTCTCTAAAGTTATTAAGATAACAATTCATGATAATAATGTAAATAGACTGTCGGGCACAAATAATTTAAACAGTGTATACAAGGTATTTTATATTATGCCAAAGGTAAATTTAGGTAGTTTTAGCAAGTTTTTAAGTCCATATACCTACACCTACAATATTTTGTACATAAATACAACATTTGTATTATTCTCTTTCGATTCGTTTTCTACATCCCCACTGTGTACCTATCATAGCGTACTACAACTCTATGGCTACTACATAGTTAGTGTGTGAACTTGTATATTAATTATAGCGTATTACACCTCTATAACTACTATGTACTTTGCATTTCAAATTGTGTACCATACAGTTATGCATTTATTTTTGGTATATTTCTTTACTTTATTTGGTGCTTTGCAAGATATGTCCTATTCAAGTTATGTTTGCACAATGCGTGCTTTGCTATAATGTGTCATCTTAATACTTGCATTGATAATTTTTTGTTTCTTCATACTTTACGTATTTTAATTTATATGTTTTGATGTATGTTTTTACAGTAGTGCAAGTATATGTTAAATACAAGTATTCTAGCCCTGAAAAGGACATTTACAGAATGTCCAGAAATATTGGTATTGACTACAAGCACATCTTAAGTGGCACCGCCAATGCTGGAACTTAGCATCAATTTTTGCAGCATGAAAGCATTAGATCTTATAGGAATAATTTTATTTTAAATAACTACAATCCTTTTTTTCATGTCGTAGTTTATGGAACCAGTACTTCTTACACGAGATTGAAACAATTTATTGGAAAAAAATCATTCAAGAGAAATCAAGTCGGCAGAAAAACAAGAAAATAAGGATCATGGGGCTTTCCACGTAAACAGCACGTATCGACTACATCTATATACATGACATATTTGATAAGTTGAACAACCTTGCCAGGCTTGTATGTGATTAATTTTGACTATGTAACCAAAAGAATGTAGTAACTACTCCAAAATAATTTGAATTCGATAAAGTATATTAATGTCGTGTAAGAAGTACTGATTTTATAAATCACTACATAAAAACAGAATTGTAATCAATTAGAATAGTCCCATTCTCATAAGATCCAATGCTTACATCCTGGCAAAATTGGTACTGAGCTCTGGCATTGGCAGCACTTCTTGAGATGTGCTTATAGTTAATATTTAATTTACATCGGATATAGTTATGCTCTAAATATCAAACTGTGCTTGTGCTTATTTCATTTTATGATGAAAGAGCAAGCAATGCAGAAGACATAGACTTATACATCAAATTACGAAAAAAAATATGTGATGATTGCTTTCAAAATCCTTTTATCAATTCGTGAGCACATTATCCAACAATGGATGATGTTTTTTTTGTTTTTTTATTATACTGCTATTCTGACGAGCAGTGTATATAATAGCTTTGCATTGCTGTGTTACTCTGCATGTATGTGCTATTGTCATTGGCACATTAAAAAGCCGCCTCAGATTTTATTGTGATATCAATCATTCATGCTGCAATGAAAGCTTCTTATTTCACATGGCTTTGAAACCATCGGACCAAAACTGAAAAAACGTAATACAAAAATTATTTTCCTAGAGGTACGAGCCAAACTGTTAAGGCCAAATCTCAAATTCATGAGCATGTATTACCAAGCCTCCAAGTGATGACATATTTTGAAATAGTAATGAAATTGGTATGTGCAACAAATTTTCACTGGATTGTATAAAATCTATACAATCTCTAGAAAATAGCCATGAAAAAACTCTTATTAGATAACAGGTGACAAAAAAGAAGTAGTAACACGACGTCTTTCGCGTGCACCTTTACCTGCCACTCATCTTTGACTTTCCAACGCGTGCCATTTCCTACTAATGTTTGAAGAAATAAAGCAGCATCATTAGGACTGTTAAAAGTGTTTTTTGACTTCCAACTTATTGTTTTCGAAAAACTTTTTTTACAAATGTTTATTGCAAGACTAAACACTCATTAAATATTATTCAACAGTCGTTTTTCGTGTGAAACTTTTGATACTCTTTCAAACAGTGCGTATCATGCTTTGCTACGTACTCTCGATTGTAAGATGTAAGCGTTCTCAAATAATTGATTTTGTCTAACATCGAAATAAAACAAAAAAATTATTGCTTTTTCAATAATAATCAAAGCTAGTTACAAAAATAAGGGCATGTTAAAATGCCTATGTAAGTCATAATGTTACTGGAATAGTCAAAATTTAACAACAAGTACGGAAATCATTATTTACATAAACAACTTACGTTATTAAAATAGAAATATTTTTACAATAAAAATGGGCAGAAAAAAGATTAAAGTCATAACACACTAACTTAATGAAAGCTTACTTTGACACTAACAACTACGGTCTGTATAACGTTGCTGAATAATTTTTTTGGACGAAAGAGCATATTTTTGAGGGCATATTACATTCAGATGTTTTAAACAATGAATTTTGGAAAATACTATTCACGCCAGAATACATTGTAAAATAGGTAACATTTTTTCTTGCTTTTTTATAATATCTATATCTACCAAATCCTATCCAAAAATTAAATTAATTATTTCAATAAACTAAAAAGTTAATATATAAAATGTGCACCTTAGATAGAGCGTCCACAATCAGTTTAGGCCGGTTGTTACAGGTACTGTACGTGCTTAAAACACTTTCACAATCCCAATTCGTATCATAACTGTTAGCAACTACTTTTTCAAAATGTTCATTTCTAGAATTCGTAATAGATGCGGGAAATTCATTGTTCGTTATTTTTACTTGGTTTTTAATCAAACTAGTTATATGGTCAACCTAAAAAATAATAAAAATACAATATTATCTATTGGCGCATAAAGTATTAATAACATTCAAAATAAGTAATAGATTCATTTGTTTGAATAACATTTTTAAATAACATTAAATAACATCCTTTAATACCACTATAGATTTTTGCAACAACTTAAACAATCGACTGTTGACACAAAATCAGTTTAGGAGTTTTGCATGATAAAATTTATTTGAGTTAATAAAACTTGAATATAACCTCACCCGCGCAAGAGAAGTAATTTTGAGTAGCCGTACAAACAGTACAGGAGGTAGAAAGACATATTGGAATAAGCATAATTTAAATACAAACTAGCGTTGCAAAATTGTGAATTTATCCAGGTACAACGGTTGATAGAATTGTAGAACTACTACATTGAAAAACGCTGCAGAAACAAAATACAAGTCGTATTTAACAAAATACTAGTAGTTAACTTACAAATTCTTGTCTGAAATTGTACCATTGTTATACAACTAAAAATTTAACACAAACGTTCAATGGAAAGGGCAGAGTATATACATGTATTTATTTGAACATTACAATACATTCACATACATAACATTATACAAGTGAGTTTTAACATGTTTATTGAAAGGCTGCATAACAAAGTTGACCATTGGCAATTAAAAGTCATACAGATTGACATAGAGATGGTAAAGTAATTTTTTCATCACACGAAAAAAAAAACCAGGTGTGGGTCTCGGGATCCCCGACTGACGTAAAACATCAAAGAATTTATTATTGATATCGGTAATATTTAATTGTCTACGATGAAAGTGATTCCTGTTCTTGTGTGCATACAAAGAAAAAACTAATCCATAAGACAAGTTAGATTCACAGACTAAAAAAAAACAGGTGTGGGTCTCGGGATCTCTGACAGATATGAAACATTAAAGAATATGTTATTGAACTTGAGAGTATTTCATTGTCTATGGTCTATGAGAAGAAAAGTAGCTTTCGTCAGATAAGTGCCATCGTCTGGAGCAATGGCGCTTATCTAGTGAATCTTATTTTTTCTACCAAGCACACACCAACTTCTTAAAAATGTGCGAGGTAGGACAAGTGTCTATTTTTTGACTCTTAATAATCTTCATTCCATATTTTTATATTTGAAAGACAGTTTATTCATAAATATGTATTTTTATCCGTGAACATTAGAGATGAGGAAAAAGCAAATTGTGTTAAATATTTTTGTTCATAAACACATTTACAATGAGAACGAGAAAGAACAATAATACACAGTAAAGAGTATCTATACTATCTATCTACGCACAGGTACATACATGAGTTTAACAAATGTTCATGTGTATTACTTTCTTTGCCTTTTTGTCTCTTTTCGGATACTTGTGCATAGTTGCGCTTATGTGCAAATTTCATTGGCTCTTTACTAAAGACAGGTTAAGATGGAGTTAGAATAAACACAGCTGGAAGACCCAGGGAAAACTTTGCATTATGTTTAAGTATTAATATTTTAAAATAATCTTGTTAACAAAGAAGGAATTTTTTACAAATAATGGAGAAATTATACTGATTTTAATATTTATCTATAAATTTTTCAAGCATAAAGTATTGAAAAAAGCAATGAAAAAGGCCTACCTGTGTGAGTACAATAGAGACAGAGAGAGAGAAAAAGAGAAAGAGAGAGAGCGTAATATCAGACGATTAATGGCTCTTTTTATCTTACTCATGCTGGTACTACGAAAATGCCTTTTTCGTTTTTTTCTCAATATTTTGCGCTTGTTGAAACAAGACTTGAAGTGCTGAGTGCTAGCAACTTTTTTGCACTTCACGCTAGTAATTTCAATTTTTCTGTACATCAATCCGTTAAAATATATAAGCAAAACGAACTGTAAAATACAATTTTACAGAATTTTGACATCATTGGACCACTCAAAAATAATCATAACTATTTCTTTTGAAATTCTCGGGNAAGCAAAATTGGCTAAAAATAACAATTTTTATGGGGTTCCTAAAAAGGAACTGCATGATCGCGGCGCACAAATATAGAAGGGTTGGACTATGTACACAAATAACCTTAATTATTTCTTTTTTCGACTACATGTTAAAAAAAACGATTAAAAAAAAAGTTTATTTATGAATCTTTATTTTTTTCAGTGAATATTATAGGTTACAAAAAAGCACATCAAAAATTATGTTTATTTTTGTTTATTCATGAACACAGAAACAAAGAGAACGATAAAAAACAACAATACACGGAAAAAAAAAAACCAAACTACCCACCTACACAGAGGTTTAACAGTACGTTTGTGTGTATTACTTTCTCTGTCTCTCTCCTCTCTGTCTCTTTTCCGATATCTGTGCGTAATTGTGCACGTGCGCGAGCTTCGTTATCTTTTTACTGAAAACGGGTTAACATGCAGGAGTTTGAGAGAACAAAATTAAAAGATCCCGAAAAAACTTTGAGTAATGGTCAATTTTTTATATTTTAAAATAACCCTGTTCACCAAGAAGCAATTTTCAAAAAATGATAAAAAATAATACTACTTCTAAAATTGTTTTCTCCAAGAGCAAAATATTGACAAAAGCAATGAAAAAGGCCTATAGGTATACTTCTATTAGTAAAATAGAGAGAAAGAGTAAGTGAGTGAGTAAAAACGAGTTTATTGTGCCATGATCGAATTGACCGTATGGCAACAAAGTTTGACAAAATTTTAAATTACAAGAGGTAATATATAATATAAGTAGAGTTTTTTGCACTGTGAATGAACTTATTTGCTCGGGCGCAGTTTGTAGAAAAATAGTATAAATTGGACTTATACATAAATTTTTGCGCAGATATTTTAAGTACAGGTAAATATATTACACAGCGCTTAGTGAAAGACAATAGTACTTATGGCACAAAAAAAAACACAGGTAAGATGCGATTTACTGCTTAGTTTAATGCAATAAGAAAGTAGTGCAATGCCTATCTAAAAGACTCAGAGGTGCGACTCCCTCTCATAGCATCCGGAATCTCTCCTCAGAACTTTAGGGCACTAATCTTAAATGATCACTCATATGTAACCGTCCGAGCAAAGGGTACGTGGAACCCGACCCCTGCCCACCTCAAAGACCGCCTGAAACCATCGTCACTTAAAAAAAAAATCAGCAAGATACTGTGGTTTATTTGTAGCCAATATCCGATATAATGCCCATCCTAAGGTGAGCATTCTGCACAATTTGATAGTCAGCCAGTTGAGTCCACTGTACAGGGGTTTTATCTCAGTATCGCGTCTGACCCCAAAGACAAATCGGACAGCCGTATTTGACAGTCTATGCAGCTTGACATGAAGGTAACTAGAAAGATCAAAGTAAGCTTTGGACGCATGATCAATGCACGGCAACATCAGCGAAGTGACAAGAGTCCTCCTTATTTTTCAAGGTAAGAAACCACCCCTGTAGCGCAGCCTATGAAGCGCGCCATGGACCGAAGAGCAAACACGAGAGACCTGCGCGTATCCTGTTGAGTGCTCACTAAGGATAATACCCAGGCTTTTAATTGATGCAACGAAGGGTACAGGCTGGTCCCGAATTAACACTGGAGGCAAGAGCGATCGGTCAAGGCGCATGTGTTGTTGCGTTGTACTAAATGTGATCGCCTTAGTCTTTAACAGATTCAGGGAGAGCCCGTGACAATCTGCCCAATGAACAGTCGATGCTATGTCCTCATTTAATCTTTCTATAGCGGCAGCCAAGTTAGCGGGGGTACATCGGATATAAATTTGCACATCATCTGCGAAGAGCATAGCCTGGCAAAATGAGACGCACGACAGGATCGAGTTCACAAATACAAGAAACAATATGGGGCCAGGCGATGGCCCCTGAAGAACCCCAGAAGTCTCTCGACGCAGCTCAGTCTGCTCGTCATTTCCACTCGTGACCACCTGAGAACGCCCACTCAGATAGCTATGCAAAAACCTAACCAAATCCGCCGAAAAACCTGCATCACACAACGACCTTAGAAGCCTAAGGTGGTAAATCTTGTCGACTGCCTTTTCGAAGTCAAAAAAGACCAACACTGTGAGCATACCCTTGTCCGTACCCTCGCGAATATCATGAGTGACCCTTAATAGCGCCGTCTGAGTACTATAGCCTCTGCAAAAACCCGATAGATAAGGCGACCAAAGCGAGGCACTCTCCAAGTACGTATAAATTTAGACCGTTATTTAAAAATCAAATACCTTTGCAAAGTGAGCAACGTTCGCAATCGGGCGCGTATCAGTCGGAGCCATCGGGTTCTTAACCTTTGATAGGGGCACAATAGAGGAATACCTTCCACATATCTGGGTATTTATTTGATATAAGCGAGAGGTTGAACAGATGTACGATAAATGGGGCTATGATCGATGTAACGTTCTTGAAGTAATTCAAAGATAGACGATCATTACTTGAGCTCTTGGTCTTAGCTTCACAGTGTATGAATGCCCGGAGCAAATCCGCTGTGATAATAGGGCGAAAAGAAAAACCACGATCATGCGCTCTCCCAAAAATACCCTCGAGGTAATCCGAAGAGCAAGGTTCATACGCACATGCCACTGACAAGTAGTGATCTGCCTACTGTACTAGATAGAGGCAGGCGTCTAGTCAGTAAGCGCACGGAGAAAGAGACAGAGGTGAGCCAATCTGAGCCAAGCCGAGCCGAGTTTGACCGGAGATCGTGCCATCGTGCGGGTCGCTTTATCGCATCGGTTAAACCCCCAAGCACGCTAATAGATGTTTTACATTAAAATCTGTGTGACCATGTGATCATTGTTTGAACTAATTATAAGGAATTGGTCATAAAACCTCTATATCTGGAAAATGCATTTCTAAAGAGTCGGAATATAGGTCCCGTTACAACGTAGGGACCATAATCTGGACAGAGGCGATCATGGAGAAAATGAGGTAACAGCGAGTCTTCCAAAACTATAACATAGCAGACGGCAAGTATCAAGGAAAAAAAAAAAAAAAAAAAACGTAAATTATTTTTAATGATGGCAAGCCGCCT